CACTACATATTTTTAAGGGCTACAAGTATTTAATTTGTAACATGGCACAATGCCTTTACTCCCAGGAATTCTGAGAAACTCTCAAGTCAATTACTAAAATGTCAGGGAGACCCAAGTCTTATCTCTTATTCATTTATACAAGGACCAATTATATGTCAGAGCAAGCAAGATGGGGAATAAGTCTTTGATAGACAAAAGTATCTGTTCAGCATGTACATCAGAGCAATGAACTACCTCCTTTTGTTTTAATATATAATACAAAACTTTATAAGAATAAGGCAAATTCATACAAATTCATACAAATTCATACAAGGCAATTCATACAAATTCATATACAAATACATACAAATTCATACAAAATACAATAAATTTGAAGTGGAAAAGATTGGATAGTTATTTCAATGTTTAAGAAAGGCTCTAGCTAGTCAAAAACTCATACCTTGAGCAGAGGATAAAAATGAAATTTGATTTTGTATGTCACACAAATGCTTGATTTTGATATATCTTTACTTCTATCAAGGAAGAAAGACAACATTGTTTTTGTGGAGAAATATGTGATTAAGGTGTATAAGCCATTAAAAATAGTTGGCAGTAATACCTGTCTCTCGAGGTTGTTGTGGGAATTGATTAGAAATAATGTCTATAAAATATTTCAGGTTTGGGGGCTGGGGATTTAGCTCAGCAAGCGCAAGGTCGTGAGTTTGGTTCCCCGTACCGGAAAAAAAAAAAAAAAAAAAAAAAAAATACTTGAGGTTCTTAAGGTGCTATATAAATGCAAAATAATATATATTAAATATAATTGTGGAAAAATAATTTCACTGTTGGAAGTTGAATATAAAGTGAAAGACAAAGGGTAGATTTACTATTTCTAGGTTACTGATTAGTACTTCAGGGAGCTTAGACTGTTGCAGGTATAGTACAGCTAATGTACTTTTATGTTCTCATTTTTATTTTCATCTTTACATTGTGGCACTGGAGACTGAGCCCAGCAGTGTCACCGCTGAGCTGCATCTGCAGCAATTTTTTCTTTTGAGATAGGATCTCACTAAATTGCCCGGGCTGGCCTCTAGCTTGCCACCTTCTTGCCTCTGCCTTCCAAGTAGTTGAGGCTATAAGGATGTGTTTTAACCCGGCAGAATTATTTTTCAGTCATGCCCAGGATTAATAGATAATGACACATTTCTCTCAATAGTGGGAGAATATGAAAAACACTGATGTAAAGTAATGTGCACCACATGGAACTTTGATATGACAATGCTTGCGTGCACAGAGGATACATTTTGCCTCCAGTTCAATGCCCACCTTGAACAGGTTATTCTTTGGTAGTAAAGTAAATTTTTTTGCTAATAGAGTTTGCTTGATTTCTAGAATCTGGAGATTTAACTCACAAGCACTAACATCATCTACTGTGTCTTCTTTGTGCCTTCTTATTTTTTTAAACACAAATCGTTCTTTGAGTAGAGAAATAATCATACAGTTTTGCTTATATCCACCTAACTTCACATAAAAATATCCTTCTCAATAGTGTTAGTTTGATTCAATCCCTTTGGGCTGTTAGTACTATGCCCCTTTAAGAATGTAGAGGAAATTCCTTGAATTAATTAATTGTCCTCCTCTTTCTCCGCTGTGATTCCTTGAAGACTAGTGTGACTCTTGGGCCAGTTTGTTTTCCACAGAGACTACTTATATTGCAGAAAGAAATATGGCTTATAAACATGCCCAGAGATGTTACCAGCAGAACTTTCTCATAAATGTTTTTATGATTTATTTTCAAGCCTGGCTTCATATCCAAAATGTTCTGTTCCTTTTAGATGGAAGATTTAAATAATTAAATTTGATGACCATAAATCTTGTCACCAATACTTAAATTTAATATTAATTTTAAACTTATATTTATTAGATTGAATCACATAAATTGCCATATTGAAAGTAAAATTATTCAATGTCAGCAATTTTCTCCTGTATCATGAGGGAAGCAGAGTAAAACTCAAAAACTTAGGTTAAGAAATCAAAGAGGCAAGCCTCAAGTTATTGCCTATTTATTAGCTGTCTAGTGATCAATAATTTATTTATTCTTTATTATGCTGAAGTTTTCATCAAAAATTAAGATATCAGTATCATACACTTCATTAAATTCCTGTGAATATTAGTGCATAAGGTAAATGTTCAACAGATTTAGTGGAAATTATTATTAATGTAAGATACAACTGATACTTTGATTGTCTTTCACATTTGTTCCTTGAATTTTCTAATTTGTAGTCTTGCTTTCCATGAGCTGCTCTTTCATTCTCAATCTGTTGCATGATCAAATATTATTTCATTTGATATTATGATTACTATGAGTTTTATGGAGTAGGAATCTTTATCCCCTTCTTCCATAAAGAAGATCAGTTTATATCATTTTTTCTGTTAAGATTACATGGCTAGTAAAAGGCAAAGTCAGGAAAAGGATTCATTAATCTTCATCATGATAGATTTTATAAGGTGAAAGTTCTAGAAAACATTATAACATTGATGGTTTGGAAATAAAATTATCACTTAGAAGAAAGTCTTCTCATTTGTTATGAATTTCCATAATGGTCAACATTTATTTAGCAATTAAGATGTATTTCACACCATGTAGCCTAGCACATATTATATATTTCTACTACATACAGGGCAGCTCTCTCAGATTGTCACTCATATCCTCTCTTTACAAATAAGAATGCTGCCAGCTAGTAACTGGTGAAGTGGAGATTTGAAAGGAAGTTTGCCCCAGAGCCTGTGTTCTTGGCCACTGTACAGAAATGTCAGTTTGTCTTAGCAAATGTTACTGCAAACTTTACTGCCTTTCAAACTTCCACTGGTCTCCAAGCAGTAAACTTCAACATACCATATTTTTCTTAAAAAAGAAAAGCTAAAACATTCCCACACTAAAATTTTATATGTTGAATAGGTTTGTACTTTCGCAGGCAAACCTGGCAACATACTTTGCAGAGTCCAAGGTAAGAGGAATATGTGAGGTCTTGAACTACTGAGAATTGTTGTAAACTATTGAGAATTTCAAATACGAATGGGCTGGTGAAGCATTATGTCAGAGGTACGGCCTCACTGGATGTGAGCAGCTTTGAGACTGCACCACCCGTGTGCCCAGGACCTTCATGGGACCCACTGCTCTGAAGCCAGGCTTGCTTAGTTTAGCTGCTCTTCTGTGGACCTGCCAACAGCTTCATGGCATGAACAGAACAGAAGTGGAGGAGTGAGATCCTTGTATCTGCTCCCAGAATCATGCGAGTTGTCAGTGGAAAGCACACCAAGGCAGTAGGGACTTTGGCAAAATGGAACTCACCAGGGAAGCCAGGCTATCAAGTTGTAGTCCAGACTGTTTGCCTGATAAGTAAGGAGAAGTATATACCACTTCTGTTATGGGAAGTGAGAAGAGGGAGCTTGGGGGAACTCCCCCACCGCACACAGGGGAAATCACCTGTATCCTATAAAACGATGACAGAAACTGTGCCTTTCGTTCTTGGAGTGTTCTGGGTTAATTTATGTGTAAAATCAACAAAACTGACAGTGGTTATTCAAATGTTGTTTGCCCCTTAAAATTATAGACCAAAATACTATTTTTAGCTTCTCTTCCTTTAAAAGTAGAAAATATCTGTCACTGATTTTCCAGTCTGAAAGGCTGTGGATGTAGAGACTGCTATCAGTCGATCTTTTAGGTGGACAAGAATCAAATCAAGTGCTTTCCAAATGGACTTATATAGGCTTAAATTCCAATCTCCCTCTACTGATGCCATGTTTACAAAAGTTAATTAATCTCCCTGAGACTCAAGTTTTTAATCTGTAAAATTTTTTAAAAAGTAAGAAAAACATAGAGAATTACTGTAAGGATTCAACGGATAAAGGGTTTTACTGCAGTACTTGGCATATCACAAAAGCTCAGCAAATTAAAAAGATAATATTTTATATGAATAGATGTATTTCACATAGATGCTTACACATATATACATTTATCTGTCATATATATAATCTTGAATATCATTTATAATTATACTATATTTATGTGATATATTTTGAAGTTTCTGAGTTTTAAGGTCTGAGACAGGAGTAGGAGTCAATGTTTGGCTTACTATAATAAATAGTTCTTCTGAAGTTCTGTTTACTATTGCTAACTTTATATTCAACTTATATGGCATTTGAATTGAAATGCTACTGTCTGTACAAGATAGGGATTTCCTCAATGCAGTCCTCGTGCTCCACGTCAAGCAGACAGAGTGTTTACTTGAATATGAAACTAACACAATTCTCAGAAAAGCCAGATGTGTTTCCTGTCTGAAATGGAGATAATGTGCTTGCAGACCCAGCTCGGAGCATCGAATAGGATGCATAAATTGCCATCTCCCAAGTTTACCTTCTTAGTCAACACCTTTCTCCCTAATCCATAGCCATCTGATGTATTTTTTATGTGTGGCTTGAATTTAATCACAGAAAGTAAAATGAAAAAAAAAAGAAAAGAAAAACTAAAGCTTTAGGATCCCTTCACTTGAATATTTACAGGGTTTAGATTCAGGTTTCTCCCCAGATTTTCAGTTTTATAGTTACTTCAAAATTGTCTGCTAACAGTTTATTTACTGATTGCCCATTACAGATTTACCAAATTTTTCAAAAATGAAGAAAAACTGATGCAACTGTACAACCAACATAAAGTGTTTACTGTTTTTTGTTATTTAAACATGCAAATAAATATGAAAATGAAGAATGCTTCTCTGTTGCTTTGGTAGTGGATAAAATTATTTCAAATGTAGTGTTCTCAAACTCAAACTCTCTTAAACGTGTTCTCTGCAAAAGGAACCATTTGTTTTGTGACTCCACAGAAGTTCTTCTACGTGAATATCTCTGAGTTGGATGTTTGAATAAATTATCCCTGGTCTTCTGAATTATTAATGTTGGTTGCATGATATGCAAATCAGACTGTATTAACCATGTCCAGCAGCACCAGCACTGGGTCAGAAGCTGTATCCAGTTGCTGGCAGAGGTTCTTTCACGGGAGAGGCGTTCCAACAGAATGGTAAGCTGTGCTGGGGCTCATGTCTCTCAGATAACAAATGTACTTCCAGGCTGCTGGCTGGGGACTGGGGTCTTAAAAGTGGTCTTCGGGCAGTAAATGTTTATGTGTCAGTAAACTACTCTTAAGTAGATGTAAAGCAACAAAAAACAATAAAAGGAAGTCATAATTTTTACCTTTACTCTTGTTTTTCAAAATTAGATGTTTTCTCCTAATTGTCAATACTAAATATATTTTATTTAAACAAGACTAGCATATTTGCTAATGTCTCAGAAATACATCTTTCACCAAAACTAATAACTTGTTTTTACTTGAATACACATAACTATTTACAGAAAAAGATCTACAATAATATAAAACAAGCTATCATGTACATTTCATGTGTACAGAATAGTGTGTTACAGGATATTTGAAAGTGCCCTAAATATTATATTTAGCATTTTATGTGTCATAAAAAGAGAAGATTCAAGGATTAAGTTTAAGAGAGAAAGTAGAAAATTACAGAAACTGTTATTCTACCATTTAGTGTCTTAAAATTTGTAAAGTATTCTTAAAGGAAATTATTAAACATAAAATTTGATGTCACATAATGACTTTTAATTAACTTATTTTTAGAGTGATTTATGGTGTGTATAAAATGAAGATATCAATATTAAATTATTGTATCTTTTCAAATATGAATATTTTTATTTATGTAGTTTAGTAATGAGAAAGATAATTTGCAAATCTGCATTACAGTAGCAGTTAAAAATAAAAATTCCAGGGCCAGGGATATAGTGTAGAGACACAGTGCCTGCCTGGCAAGCATAAGCCCTGAGTTCGACTCACAGTACCAAAAAAAAAAAAACAAAAATAGAAACCCACGTATCATTTTGTTTTGAAACCCTGTGTTATTTTTATTGTGTTTGCTTTGTTTTATAATAAAATATTCCACAATATTTGATGGTTGTAAAAAATTAAATTCTGAAAAAGATCAAATGTATTACTTTCAAAATCCAGTGTGCAAAAAATGTACATTTTTAAGATGATGAATGTATTTCAAGTGAAAGAAACATTCTCAAATTTAAGATGAGTACTGGTAATCTGTTTACGTGACTAATTTAGATACTGCTTCTAGCTTATTAATTCTCACAGGGTTAGATAAAGTTTTGGACTGGGAACTAATAATTTCCCTTTCATTGCCAATACTTTTTAACAAAACTCTTAGAAATAATTTATCTAAATCAGTTTTAAATAATTTTAACCCTACTTGCATTTCCTATAAAAACTACTGAAAAGTGGAAGAGAAACTGTTGATTTTTCATGAAACGTTTTTCTCTTTAAAGGAACACTTAGTTCCCCAATTTGCACAACCAGTTTGCACAACCCAATTTGCATACCCACATTGGAAACACTCCACAGATAATCTTGTTATAAAATGTGCTTAAAATTATGGCTCCTATGGGGCTGGGGATTTAGCTCAGCGGCAAAAGCGCCTGCCTGGCAAGCGCAAGGTCGTGAGTTCGGTTCCCGATACCAGAGAAAAACCAAAAAAAATAAATAATAAATAAAATTATGGCTCCTAGTAAAGTTAAATAAGCCTGCAAGCGTTGAACAGCCTACCTTTATAAAATCATAATTTATAAATATTATAAACTTAGAAAAAACGTTAAGCATGAATAAATGCATCAAAGAAATGGACTATAAAATAGTGAAAAGATTAATGTCATATTTATAAATACAAATGAATATTAAAGTTTAGAAGGGTACTGAGATACTAAGAGTGGTTGGTGTGAAAATTTTTTCTTATTTTTGCCTGTTTGCATCCTGTGGGTATTACACAATTAATATGTACTTTGTACATAAGTTTTGAAAAATTGTTTTAAAAAGAATGAAGCACCAGATTTTAAGAAGCAAGACAAGGGTATGAGTGAATGAAAGAAAGGAATAAATAAATTCAGTCATTCATTTTCCTTATTTCAGCCCTGATAGTCCCTATCCTTATCTCCAACCCCCTTGGAATACCAGAAAGCAGCCCTCCATCTCTTGAGTGCGGTCCCTAACTTGTCTGAGTTACAGTAGTTTTTGGTAACCTGGCTGCAAGTTGTATAAGTTTTCATAGATATATTTTTCATTTCTGGCAACCAAACCTTTCTGCTTCCCATACGCTGCATACACTACTGCCAAAATTCAGCCTTTAGTGGCAGGAATAAGACTTGGCTATGACAGGAAAAAAAAGAGAATTTTTAAAAATGAAGTCAATGAAGTTCTTAGCTTTCACTTGCGTGTATACACTAGCTTTTTATGTACCTGTAAAGTGACCAAAGGGTCCACAAGTGAGCTTTGAGGAATTTCACATTTAAAGCTTGAGCAACAGATCAGCCACAAAACAGGCTGCAAATGGAGGAAGGACAGAGATGAGTAGACTGGCACACCACAGAAGAGAGAGAGAGAGAGAGAGAGAGAGAGAGAGAGAGAGAGAGAGAGAGAGAGAGAGGTCTTCCAGAAGGCATAGGACTGATGCTGCAGGGAACAGTAGATGGTAATAGTGAAAAAAGGCTATTTATCTAAAAAAATAAAGTATGTTAACTTTTGAAAAAGCCAGCTACCCTTTTGGAACATTTCTCAGAATTTAAAACTTAGTATTATCATATGTATATTGCTTTAGTTAAAAAAAAAAAAAGAAAAGAAACGAAAAGAAAAGATAGAAAGTCCAGGTAACCCACAACTGAAAAGGCAGAAAAAAAGCTATTAGGAATCTGATTGGTAGGGACAAAACTATTCCACTTCGGTACATGTCTTTGTAGACTTTTATGTTTTTTAATTAAATGTTGTAAATTTTTAGTTAAATGCTTCAATTTTTTAAATTGATCCTAGACTATATATAATATTAAATTTTACTTTATACAAGTGTATTTTACATAAGAGCTCTCACTAACACTTCATCAGTTTTGAACGTCTATCATATAGTGTCAGCTTTTTTAGCAAAATAGAGTGATGGGCTTGACTTGGTAGACGTGCTACTCACCTAAACTAGGACAAAATATTTATAAAACTGCTTTGTGAATAGTCAGGTGTTTATCACCATCTCCTTACTTAACACAGTTCTTCAAACCAGCTATTAACTTCCAGCTACTGTGCCAGATGTAAAAGGTCAATGGTGAGTCAAACAAAATTTTTGAGAAATGCCAACAAGTTCAATATACAATTGAAGCATGAATGCGAGGACCTCAGATTGATGGGTAGTCCAGAGTATATATTTTGGAAACTACTCGCTTGAGCTGAGGCCTGAAAGAAATATAGATTTAAGACAACGTACGTGATGGGTCAGAAGTTGCAAGAGAAAATACAGCTTCAGAAAGGGGGGCTTGTACATTGAGATGTCTTCCTGTGTACTCACAGAACAAGAGAAGGGTGAGTGTGGAAAAGTATCACCCGAAGTGAGGAGGAAGTGGAGTACAAAGTTCTGATAATGGAGCAGTGTGTGTCTCCTTGATGGATTTCGACTGTAGAAAGTCATGTACAGGTTTTATAAGGAGATAACTGGAGAATGTTATGTAGTCCAATGGGGAGATGATGGCCTGGCCTAGCTGAAAGATTGGGAGCAACAGTACTAGGTTGGAGAAACATCCATAAATTATAGTCATAAAGTCTTGGCAGTTTGTTCATTATTGAAGGTGAATTAGAAAAGGGCTTTGTTTGGATTTCTGTACTAAGTGGGCAGACGGAATCAGTCACTTCACTGAGACAGGTTGCTGTGCTACATGCCTGGTAAAGAAGTTGGAGAGTTTATGCCTGTGAGAAATTAATCAATAGCAGCAAATATAAACAGTTAGAGCTGTTAAGATATGTCCAGATGGCACTGGAAATATGGGAATTATAATCTCAAAAGTGGATAAGATCATCCAGGAAGAATATTGAGAAAATCCAGGACCACGTTTTGAGGACCTCAACATTTTGTACTTAAGCTACAAAAGAACCTGCAAAGCAGACCCAAAATGAAAGAAGGAAAACTAGGACAATATCATAACACAGAAGACAGTGTGTCATGATATTAAAACTAGCTGAGAATTGAAGATGTGAAAAATGACCATTGGGTTGAGCAATGTGGAGACTGTTTTAGTGGGATGGTAGGTCAGAAGCCAAATTCCAATAAGTTGGCAACAATGTGATGTCAGGATGTCAAAACACTCAGTGAGACTCCTCTTTTCTGAAATTAAGCTACAAAGAGGAAATATGTGAAACCAGGAAGGGTTGTTTGCAAGTGCTCCTGTGTAAGACTGCTAAGTCAACAGTGCCCAAATAGTGATGGGAAAGATGCAATTGAGTTGGAGAAGTTAGCTGAAGAGACAGAAGAAACAGACAACATTAACAACCTAGGATCCTTAAGAACTTGAGAATGAATAGGATCTGGAGTAATCTCAATGATTAGTCTCTAATTCAGTGAGCTAGAAGGCAAAGCCATCCGCTAGCGATCTGTGACAATGAGTAAGACCAAATAAGTGGAAGAAATTTGATAAGACCTGGGAAAAATATAAAATTTTAAAATGGAATAAATTTCTCACAATGTAAGAGGGCAGTAGAGACTAGTAACTTCAAAGATAGAGAGAAGCCAGTCTGCTCAGTTCTTCAGCAACAGTTGTGCACCTTCTGGCTGAGGGACATCTCACCTACTGTCATTTACTGCTGGACTTAGTGGCTGGCTTCCATTCAAAGACTTAAGACTTCAGAGGAATTTAAAATGTTCCATAGTAATTAAAAACAATAAAATATTGAGTTTTCTACAATTTCATGACATGTTTTCATGAGTAAAACACTCTCAAAATACTAGTAATTGTTTACTTAAGGAAGTCACTGGATTCACAAAATGAGATGGAAGTTTTGAAATTCCTTTACCATAGAAAACTACTGAGCATTGGCATGTCTCTCAGTGAAAAGCAGCTTCAGTGTCTTTGTTCTGATTTTGCTCCACCCACCAAAATACAATATGGAAAGAATCACTGATGGCAACTAATGCTTAGAAGTTTGTTTGATAAGATGATTTTCAGAAAAGTTTATTTTTAACCTTGTTTTCCTCATTATAAGTAGGATTTGATGTTTAAAAATGGTAATCCTGCATTTTTAGATAATTCAAGTTCTGAAAATACCATATTCAAACTACAATCTGGCCTCTTGACAAGAGAAAAAAAATGACAATTTATCAAGATATTCGACACCAGGACGAAACACACTGCCTATTTCCATGGTCATATTCCCCGAGTACTACTACTAAGGTCTTTTACTAGGCTACAGTCTAAATATGGGTGTCCTTTCCACCCCCAAAATCCTTATGTTGGAACCTAATAGAATTCAACAATAAAGCCTTTGGGAAAGTGATTAAGTTATAAGGGCTTTGCCTTTCAGCTGGGATTAGCACCCTTATAAAAGAGATTGAAGGAAGCTTCTTTGTCCCTTCCAGTACTGTTATGAGAATGAAGCAAGAGGCACCATTCTGGAGCAAAAGGCGGTCACCCCTCACCCAAAACTGAATCTGCTGGCTCCATGATCTTGGACTTCCAAGCCTGCAGAATCATGAAAACATTTCTACTGTGTATAAATTAGCCAGTGTAAGGAATACAGCTATAGTAGCTGAAATAGACTAAACTAGCAAGATATTTAATTTTCCAAGCTTTAGGGGAGTCATATGCTGAGTAAAAATAATAATTTCCCCACGTCACTATGCTGCTTATACATATTAAATGAATATTCCCTGGAAAGAGGTAAGCACAGAGCTCGTACACTACCAACTTTCAAGAAGTAGTAGATGCTGAAGAATTTCATTTTTGTAGTTCACATTTTAAAAGATTATATTTTAAAATGGAAGCTATATTTCCTAAATTTAATAAAAAAGCAAATGTATATAATGTGGAAACAAGTAAAAGCTATTAAAATAGCGAGATTGGGGGCTGGGGATTTAGCTCAGCGGCAAAAGTGCCTGCCTGGCAAGCGCAAGGTCATGAGTTCAGTTCCCGGTACCGGAGAAAAACCAAAAAAAAAAAAAAAAAAATAGCAAGATTGGAATTCTAACAGTCTCTCTGTCTTGTAGGTTACACTTCAATTCAGTTTAACCCAGCAGAATTTATTGAACAGCTACAATATACAGGAGACTATGGTAAGTTATGGAGACACAACAGTAAGTCAGACTCTCCTCCGCATCCACTTTCCACACTTTCTTATGGGCCACTTGCTATTTGTCAAACCTTGTGTGTTTTTACCCAAAGGGACTGCACACATTCTACCTAGGTCTGGAGTATGCTTCTTCCAGATGTGGATATGTCTCTTTCCCTGTTTTCAATGAAGTTTCCATTTATATTTGTTCTTTTTTTGTTTGTTTTTCTTCCGGTACCAGGAATTGAACTCATGACCTTGCGCTTGCCAGGCAGGCGCTTTTGCCGCCGAGCTAAATCCCCAGCCCAAAGTTTCCATTTCAATACCATCTAGTGGAAAACCTTGTGCCTGGTCACCATGTAAAAAAATAGCTCATTGCCCACTTCTCTCCAAAACCCTTTTAACATGTACTCATTTTTTTTCATTCATAGCTTCTTCCATTCTATAGCATCGTTTACTTTTTAATTCTTCCAAAAACAGTATATAGTGGTACCTTGGTTCATCAATGCTTCTGTTTGCAGATAATTTGCTTTGCAAACAAAACCACTTGGCATAATTTGTTTGTGAACTCTGCACCAGGTGATGAACAGGAGCACAGCCATCTTTCCCACAAGAACATGAATGTGGCCATCTGTTCCAGAATCATGGAGCAAATTATCTTTCTGTACCGAGACACCACTGTACATTGTTTCAGATTAGGAACTTGGTTTTGCCTACTGCTACTAATCCAGTTTTTAGTTTATAATTCAAAATATTCAATAAATGATTTTAGAAATATTCTTTTCCCATATATGTAAGCTAACATATACTTATATATGTTTATGCATATGTCCATTCCTCTGCAATGTAAAACATTCTCCACTGTTCGGCTATCAATGCTACTTTTAAGCTATAATCTGCACAGCTTTGTTCTGAATCACATTCTAGTGTTTCATCTATTTTCTCTCTTTTGTTAGGCATGGAATTCAACTTGTGGAAACTGGGTGGCAGCACAATTTGCTTTGCAACAGTACTACCTTCCCATTTTTTATGGGATTGAGTTCATTGTAGGAATTCTTGGGAATACCACGGTTGTTTTTGGCTACCTCTTCTGTCTGAAGAACTGGAATAGCAGCAACATCTATCTCTTTAACCTCTCCATCAGTGACTTAGCTTTTTTGTGCACGCTTCCAATGCTGATGAGAAGCTATGCCAAACATAACTGGATATACGGAGACGTGTTGTGCATCATCAACCGGTATGTGCTCCACGCTAACCTCTACACCAGCATCCTTTTTCTCACTTTCATCAGCATCGACAGATACATGCTCATGAAGTATCCTTTTCGAGAACACTTTTTGCAAAAGAAAGAGTTTGCTATTTTAATCTCTTTGGCTATTTGGGTTTTAGTAACCTTAGAATTGCTACCCATGCTTCCACTTTTAAATACCATTACAACTGAACTAGGCACCGACTGTCTTGATTATGCAAGTTCTGGAGACCCTGGATACAACCTCATTTACAGCATGTGCCTAACCTTGTTAGGATTCCTTATTCCACTTTCCGTAATGTGCTTCTTCTATTACAAGATTGCTGTTTTCCTAAAGCAGAGAAGCAGACAGCTTACTACCGCTTTGCCCCTTGAAAAACCTCTCCTTTTAGTTATCATGGCAGTGGTGATCTTCTCCGTGCTCTTTACACCCTACCACGTTATGCGGAATGTGAGGATTGCTTCGCGCCTGGACAACTGGAAGAAGAACGAATGCACCGAAGTCATCGTCAAGTTCTTATACACTGTGACCCGGCCAGTAGCCTTTCTGAACAGTGCTATCAACTGTGTGTTCTACTTTCTGATGGGTGACCACTTCAGGGAAATGCTGCTAAGTAAACTGAGACACTACTTTAAATCCCTTACATTCTTCAGAAAATGAACTCATACTTTATGAACTCATACTTTCATTTAGTGAAAAGTGAATTGCTTGTGAAGCAGATTGTTCTATGCCTGCAACTTCAAGCCAGTTGGAGTTGATTTTAACACATAGATATAAATCAGAGAAGAATATAGGTATGATATGACTATGGTTAACAACAGCTTGCATACAAAGTGTGGGGGAAGGGGAAGAGATTTTATTGTTGTTTACCTAAGAATCAAAGGAGTTGGACTAACACTAATGTTTAGGTGAATAAGTAAAAATTCAGTTTTATGAAGACCTTCTCAGGCAGTGAAAAAGAATAAAAGAGCCAGGAATATAGTTTAGCACCTGCCTGGCAAGTACAAGGTCCTGAGTTTGATTCCCTGTAACAAAAAGAAAAAAAAGATTTTAGGGATATAGCTCAGTGGTACAGCACCTGCCTGGCAAGTGCAAGGTCCTGAGTTCGATTCCTGGTAGAAATAAAACTGCAGAAGAATAAAAGATAAAGCAGCAAATTACATGTGTGCCACATTTTCGGCTAGACAAAAAAATATTTTGCCCTCATCCCTATATTATTCATTCAGTCCTAAAGCTTCATGTGAGAACTGAATAGTAGAAAATTACATATATTTTATTTAATTTTGTTTCAGATAATGTGTACTTAAGAAAATTTAAGTAATAACTATGAGTAAGAAAACAATGTGATGAGTTCAAGGATGACCATTTATTTCTTCATTTTGGTCATGAATTGAGATCAGTTTGCAATTTTTCAGTTGTTCTTTATTGTATGTGCTTTACTGGAAAGAATCATAATTTAGGTTAATAGAACATGAGGAGATAAATCAACAAAGGGAGATAACATATTTTCATTCAGCTATAGAAAATCTAAGTGATTTAAGAAAAAATGCTAAATTCCTTAAACAATTTCTAAAATATTTCTTAAATAATTGGATAGAATTTTAGCAAAATACTAAAGGCATGGATGGCATAGTCAGAAAAATTTCAAAGTTACAGAAGACAAAATATTGATTAAGATATCCAAGGCAAAATAAAACACAACAAAATAGAGTACATTGTTTTGATTATTGAGATGGGCAACCTTGTCAACTTCATTAGCTGGTCAGCTTCCCAGAGAATTAGCAAAGCATACTTCTAGGTGTGTCTGAGTGGGTCCAGCAGGCATGAGCTTGGGTACTGTTCTCTTATCTTTTCCTTACTGTTCTTCTTATCTTATCTTGGGTATCTGTTCTCTTATCTTTTCCTCTATGACCCTGTTCCCCTGCTTTGCATCCAGCTCCAGGATCTAAGCGGTTTTACTCCACCATGCTAATTTGCCACTTCTCCACTTTGCATTCCACTGACCATGGACTGAGTCTTCTGAAACTGTGACTCATCTCCATCGATGGCCTTTTTCTCTGCAAATTCAAGGAAAATTTCCTGCCCCTCCTTATATCTGGTAAATTCAGCTTTTACTCTAGACTGTACATGATGTGTTAAAAGAGCTCTGATTCTTTTATATCTCACTAAGGAATATCGATATTTTGCTTCACAAATAAAGTCAATTTCAAATGCTTAACTTTCAGTTCAGTTGTTTAGGTCTTAACTAGTTTGCTTGTAATTTGTCCAGCACACTGGTAATTCTGAGTGCAGCTAGCTACCCAAGCAGAGTTTAAATGCAAGATGTGGGCTGGTCTTCCTGTGGCTCTCTCTTTTCCAGGATGTTCTCTCTTCTTTTCTGCTGCTGAGCTCACCATAACTCACCCTTTGTTTTGCCATGATAGAGAGACCAAAGATTGAACATCTCTTCCAAGCCCCACAGGGACCAGCATCCAGCTATTTCAAAAATAAATAAGAATATTACTAAATTTTTTTTTGCTTCTTTTGACTATTTTTCTTTTTCCTCTATCTATATTCTTTTGTTTTTTTTTAAACTCCTCCCAGAATTTTTTTAAAAGCTCAGTTTCTATGAGCAGAAACTTTTCAGTAGGATGAGATCCCACTTGTTGATTCTTTGAAGTATTTCACTTGCAGTTTGGTTTTTATTCATAAACTCTCTGCCTACCCCTATGTCTTCAAGATTTTTACCTACTTTCTCTTCCAATAGATTTAGTGTTTCTGTTTTAATATTGAGGTCTGTGACCCACTCTGACTTTAGTTTGGTTCATGGTGATAGATTTGGGTCTATTTTTAGTCTTTTGCAAGTGGCAAGACAATTTTTCCAGCACCATTTATTAAAGAGGCTATCGTTCTTCCAGTGAGTTTGTTTGGCCCCTTTATCAAAGATTAGGTGGTTGAGTGTGTTTGTGCTTGTGTCTGTGTCTGTGTCTGTGTCCTCCAGTCTGTTCCACTGATCTGCTGGTCTGCTTTTTAGCCAGTAGCAGGTTGATTTTATGACAGCAGCTTTGTAGTATAATTTCAGGTCAGGGATTGTGATTCCATCTGACTTGTCTTTGTTGCCCAGGATTGCTTTTGCTCTTCTGGGTCTCTTCTAGTTCCAGCTGAATTTAAGGACTGTTCTCTCTAGATTCGTGAGGTGTACCAACGGTAGTTTAATGGGAATTGCATTGAATCTGTACAGCAATTTTGGGAGTGTGGTCATGTTCACAATGTTGCCTTTTCCTCTCCATGAGCAAGGAATATTTTTCCATTTATTGAAATCCTCCTCGATCTTTTTTCTCAGTGTACTGTAGCTTTCATTGAATAGATCTTTGCTTCTTTTGCTAGATTGATTCCTAAATATTTCAATTTCTTGGATGCTATTGTGAAAGTTATGTTTTTCTTAATTTCTCTCTCAGTCTGTTTGTTGTTTGTGTATAGGAATGCTATTGATTTTTGAGTGTTGACTTTGTATCCAGCTACACTGTGGAATTTGTTAATAAATTCAAAGAGTCTTCTTGTGGAGTTTTTGGGGTTTCCCATGTAAAGTATCATGTCATCTGCAAATAGTGATAATTTTACTTCTTTCTTTCCTATCCTTATTTCTCTCTCTTGTCTAATTTCTCTTGCCAATGCCTCCAGAACTCACTAGCACAGTAAAAAGAAAACCCACAAATTGGGAAAATATTTTACCTGGCTGTCTCTCTGACAAAGGTCTCCTATCTAGAACATATAAAGAATTTTAAAAAATCAGCCCCCCCAAATTCAAAGACCCAGTCCTAAAATGGGCAGCTGAGATGAATACGCACTTCTCAGATAAAGAAATATAAATGGCAACTAAATACATGAGAAAATGTTCAACAACATTAGTCATTTGAGAAATGCAAATTAAAACAACCTTGAGATTTCATCTCACCCAAGTAAGAAAGGCTAACATTAAGAAATAAACCAATAACAGGGGCTGGGGATTTAGCTCAGCGGCAAAAGCGCCTGCCTTGCAAGCGCAAGGTCGTGAGTTCGGTTCCTAGTACCGGAGAAAAACCAAAAAAAAAAAAAAAAAAAAAGAAATAAACCAATAACAAATGCGGGTAAGGCTGTGGAGAAATAGGAACACTTTTCCACTGCTGGTGGGAATGCAGATTGGTGAAATCACTGTGGCAATCAGTTTGGAGATTCCTCAGAAAACTAGGACTAGAGGTCCCATTCAACCCAGCTATACCCCTTCTGGGTATTTTCCCAGAAGATCTGAAAACATCATATCTCAGTGCCATATGTGCACCCATGTTCATAGCAGCTGAATTTTCAATTGCTGAATTGTGGAAGCAACACAAAGGTCCATCCACTGAGGAATGGATAAAAAAATTGTGGTACTTTATATAATGGAATATTACTCAGCTGCAAAGAAAGATAAACTCAGATTTTACAGGTAAATGGTCACAACTAGAGACCATACTCATACGTGAAATAAACCAGAACTCCATGTGTAAGCAACATATTGTCTCACTAGTGTAAGAACCAGAAAGAATGAATAAAAATTAGGAGGTATGATAGACATTGTGAAACGAAAAGAAAATGTTCAAAAGAAAAGAGCAACTGGGTTGAGGGAAAAGAGAAAAGAAAGAAGGGGAAATTATGTATGTATGTATGTATGTATGTATGTGTATACAGGATAGGTAATGCAGTTGTACTACTGACCTCTATTGCTCTACAGAAAGGAACAGTTAATGATTACTTATTCAATCAATCTTGCATGTCTCTATCTGTTTCCATGAGAAACCACTTTGAAGTTATCAATATGTAATACAACAATCATGTTAATTTCCTACCACTTTGTCTGTAACTCTGTATTGTTTGAATTGTTCTTATGCTATTTTGTAAATGGATGTCTGTTTGTTAATATGTTTTCCTTCTTTTATTTTTAAAATAAATTAAAATAAAGAAAAAGAAAGTTCAGTTTATTTGTGGACTTGTTTTAAAGAGAACAAACGGTAAAAGCGACGTGATGAAACACAGTTTTTGTTGCTGCCGTTCAGCTGTGAGGGTGTCACTTGCAGGAAACAGGAATCGCCAAGATATGACCAGAAGTAGAAACTCTTTCCCTTTAGAACTCAATGCGCTTAAGTAGATAATGTAATTCATGCCCTATAATAGTCTAAATTTCCACTCAGTGTTTTGAAAAATTCTTACCCTCTTGCTTATTCAATATCATCTCTCTTCATCTTTAGTTTCTGTGTTTATTCATACTGCTTCTCTTCTCTTTTTTACCAGCTTTAAACTCAGCCTCTATCATGGTTTCCAAGAACAATAAAAAACCCAACTAAAATTTTTACTTGTCTTAGGGATGTAGTTCATTTGAAAAATGTATGGTTAGAATGTATAAAGACAGGTTTAGGTCTCAGCAGCACACACAAACTCTCTCTTTCTCTGTCTCTTTCTTTCTCTCTCTCTATCATTGAAGACACACATGGTTCACTGCCTCTTAACTATTTCTACCCCTTCCTCAGGCTAAGGCAGGAAGAATAATTTTGTCTCACATTGTATCAGTTATGTTTGCTTCCCCTCAAGACCTTTCAAGTAATTTTCTTAACAAGTGAATTTCTGACATAAAGTCTAAAAGGATGTCTCCCTTTCATAGACACACTTCTCATGTATTAATCAAAAAGCTTTAAAATGTTTTCTAGTTCGTTACTATAAAAAGGTGAGGAAAGAGGTTGAGTAAACATACTAAAAGTGTGAGTGGTGAAAATCAAATGTTTAGGCCACTTGGGTGATGTGTATGCATGTACATGTGTCATTTCATTTATAAAGATGGTGACGTGAGAACAGAACAGTTCTCTTTCACTTCTTTGTAGCACCCTCTTCTAGCAAATGTCATCATTAAATCACCTGTTCAGTCAATTAGGAATAAGGTATTTAACTGATAATTTAATATGTCAGGAAAGGAAATGAAATAAAATATAGG